AATCAAAAGCACCAAAAAAAAAAAAAATCTCAAACAAGGTCCTAATCTTCAAATACACAAAAATTAATAAGGAGAGACGCTTACCATCTAATTACCACATTGCATTTTAGTATTTGTTATGGGGAAGAGGAAACTAACAAGCTTGTGACTCGAAACCCTCAACCTCACCAGGGGATGATTGCCATTAAATCAAGTGGCGTAGAATAATGGACTTATAATTATTGTTTTATGTTAGCACGTACATAACAGTATATATAATGGAAGTTTTTTATTATTATTATTTTCTTTAAAAATATAATAAAAATAAAATTTTAATCCATTAAAACTCTATTAAAATTCCGTTATAAAAGAGAGTTATTTTTGTACATAGAGACAGCTCTCCCTTTTTTTCACTTCTTTTTTTTCATTTTAATTCTGTTAGGTAGTGCAACTTTTCGCTTGTCAAGTCATACTTCTCAGGCGGTGCAACTTTTTATTTTATTGGTATTTTTTTTAATTTAAAATTTTTTAAATGAATAGAATAAATTAATAATGGTATAATTTTTAACAAAATTTTATTTACACTGGGTCTCACAGCCCAATGACTGTAAATTAGTTTGTAGGTACATTTTCCAGTTCGAGGGTTTAGTTTCGAACCTTCACCTCCAATGTAATGGCGTTTAAAAAAAAAAAAGAGAAAATTTTATTTAAATATACATAATGGATAAAAAGTGTTTTATTAGATATTTTATGTAAGAGTTAAATATTTAAAATTATGTGAATTTATATAAAATAATATCAATTATGTTAATGTAGTACTAAAATAAATTTTTGTATTGTTCTCTAACAGAGATTTACTCCTGGAGCATTTGGTCGACATCTTACATTATGTTTAATGCCCCAAAATTTCCCTGGTAACCCACCCGCAACTATGAAACTCATTTTTTATGTAATTTAGCATTTGTACTTCTATTATTCTATTCTTATGCCTTTCATGATATATGTTAATTGATTCTTGATTTACTTAGGAATCAAAAAAAGTTATGATTTGAAGTCGAGGCATATCTATTCCAATAAGATTCTTCAATGTATGTGTAAGCATATTTCAACATTAAAAGTTCAATCTCTTCGGAATTGTGGAGTGGCTGACGCGATGTTTAAAGCTACCGAGCAGGGCAATGTTGAATTCGTCGTTGAGCTATTGAAAGTAATCAAACCACTCATTTTCTATAATGATGATGGCAGACACGTTTTCATGATAGCAATCCAATCTCGTCAAGAAAACATTTTCAGCCTCCTATATGGCATTAATGAGGAGTTCAAAGCCCATATTCTTAATCAGACAGATAAAAAACGGAATAATATGTTACATGTGGCAGGGGAGAAAGCTCCTCCCTCTCAAGATACCCGAATCGCCAGCCCTCTATTGCGTTTGCAAAGAGAAGTACTATGGTTTAAGGTTTTCATCTTTCTTGTCCACTTAATTATAGCATTTTATAATTATTATTATTCATTATTTTAATTTATTTTTATACATGAAGTGTGTTTTGATTCTCTCAGAGTTTATATATAAAGTAAGTGTAACTTATTTGTTTCAAAAACAAAATCTAATTTGTTGTTCTAAAAATTAATGTGTACTTTTTTGTTAACCGAATGCAGGAGGTGAAAAGAATTGTTCCAGAATGGTGCAAAGAATCTAAAAATAATAATGGTGAAACCCCTCATGAAGTATTTTTAAAGAGCCATGAAGATTTAGTGAACGAGGCGGAAAAATGGATCAGGAACATGGCAAATTCTTTTATTGTTGTCGCTGCTCTCATTATTACAGTCACGTTTGCTGCAGCCATTACTGTCCCCGGCGGCAATGCACAAAATGGGTTTGCCAATTTTTTACAGGATGAGGCATTTATGAATTTTATACTATTAGATGCGGTTTCCTTCTTAACTGCATCAGCTTCAGTCTTAATGTATATGGGAATCCTAGCATCGAGCTTCAGGCCGCTAGATTTTCCCGAGTCCTTACCCAAGAAGTTGATCGCTTTCGTCTCCACTATTCTTATTTCTGTTGCAGCAATGACGGCTAGCTTTCTGGCTGCTCTTTGGATTGTACTACAATATCGACGGTGGAATATCATTCCCATAATTATGATGGCTGGCATTCCAATTGTATTGTTTGCACGGTTGCAGTTTCCCCTCCTTGTCGAACTATTTTTTAAGAGAACAATGAAGCCTTGGCTGTAGTGGAGAGCAAGTTGATTGATTTTTTTGGAACATAAGCGAGCAGTTTCCCCTTCAAGTTGAAATCCTTTAGCTTGTTCTTTGGTTATGTTAGTTGGAACTTCTAATTTCCCTGTTCTATTTGGTTGAATTATCAGATTTTCTGCTTTTAATTATGAGACTCTGGTGTATTTACTTTCTTATTGTGTAACAACAATATTGATCATGCATGTTATGCTATATTTTCAGATATCTTGCTTTCTCCCCTATTTTGAAGAGGACGTCCGACTAAGAGCTCCGAGTTAAGTATATATGTGATTGATGGCTTGAAAATGAAAAAAATGGGAGGTCCTTTAAGATGGGTTTAATGTCAAATAAATTCATTAGACAATAAAAAAAATAGGTAAAGGATATTTCAAATTTTTTGTCGGTCCAAAAATAAAATTTAACTCTTATAAAAAAACTACTAATTTTTTTAATCATTTTTTTTTTCACAAAGTATTCATTTTTTAATAACAAATTATTATTTTTTCTTCCCATTAACATCATTAAAAAAATCTTAATTATACATTAGGGATTCAACTGCCATAATTCAAACTTTTACTTAAAATTTTGCCTCATTTTTGCCCCCAAAAATTAGTTATAAACTAAATCAATATTTGGCTCATTCAAACATTTTCAAAATATCTTGGTTTCTACTCCAAAAATAAATCCCTTCCTACTTTTCAAGTTTAAAACCAAAAAAAAAAAAAATTTGTACAATTTTAAGCTTTCATTTAATGTGGGGGGTTAATGCGAAAATTTGTCAAAAAGAAATCAAGTTTATTTGAATTTAATGACAATTTGTACTCAATTGAAAATATAAATTTAAGTTACAAGTTATGCTTTTGTTATTTTTTTTATATATATTTGATAGATACGCATCTAAATTTTGAAAAGAAACCTCGAGGAATAAATTAAATCCCTGACATAGCAATTTCTTCAGGTTTTATTTTCCAAACTAATTACATATTTTCGAAACTAATTATAAATTAAACCCCGAACCAAAAAAAGGGCTTCTATTCTGTTCAATTCTGCTGGAAGGGCTGAAATGTTATTATCAGGCTAAGTCCAGCTCAGTAATAGAAATCAGATCCTTCTTAGTTGAAACTCAAAAGATTAAAACTTCAATTTAATACATTTATTTTGATAAAAAAGTTCTTTTTTTAGTTTTTAAAGTTTACTTTTCAGCTCTTTTTACTCTCTTCCTCACTTAAGTGATGATAGGGCATTATTATTTATTAAATATATAATTTTTTTTA